GGCCCAGCACGGCCGGGGTGGGCGCCCCGCAGCCCACCGCAGGGCTGCCCTCCCCGCCCGCGACACCGGGAAGCCAGCACGTGGAAAACTTCCCGTGCGGAGTGAAGTGTCTGGGGAGATCAAGCACCTCCGGAAACAAGCAACAGGAAAGAGTCATTTCCTTTAGGCCTGAATTTTGGACTTTGTGCCGGAGGTTCACGCACATCGTTTTGAGACATCGTGAGGATATTCCAGTGTTGCTGTCTTCCAGCCTACAGGCCCCTCATGATTTATCCAAGCTATGAATTTGCACGCTGCTTCACTGTTCTGACCTACTCAACTTTCACAGTATTTATCCCCTGAAAAATTCTGCAAACAAATGATCTTGTATTGCCTTCCTCATGGAAAATAAACAACTTTTTTTTTTTTAAAAACAGAACTGATACTTCAAACATTTGATTAGCAACATTTTCATCTGAGTTCCCAGGACTGATTTTAATTAATTTCATTTTTGCAATGTTGATTTTGTACATATGTCTTTAATCAACTGTTGTGCAGCACTAAATCAAACAGAAAAATCTGTTTTGTCTTACATCAACCCAAAATTTTACAATGATAACAAAACAGGTAATTTTGCTAAAGATCATTACCGTGGTGTTCACTTGAAGGTCTACTGCCCATTGAACCTTGTCGATTAGCATTCATTATTAGTGTATCTCTTCTGTAACTCTTTATTTTTGTAACAAATTTATTTTTATTTAATCACATGAAATTTATTAAGTTTTACGTAATTCTATATTATTTATGAATCTTGTTTCATATCCTACACTGTTTCATAGCAGCATACATTTCAGGCTAAACAGCTCCTCCTTACTTGGGTTATTACTATGACATTATTCTTTTATTTATTAATTCATTAATTTTATATTGACAAAAAAGTGGCCTTCTAGTCTTACAGAATTCCTGATTTTTTTCCAAGGAATTAAAGATTAACTATATACACACTTATTCTAAGTTTGGGAAAAGTTTCAGAAGAAATAAACATAAAAAGGAATTTGTGTTAAATATTAGCTAAATTAATAGTTATTCCACTGAAAACAAGTTCTACTGAAAATCCAGGAACAATGGACTTGAACTCACCAGGCGAGCATGTGGGTTTCGGTGGTAATAAAGTTCTTTATATTCATCCATCCACACTTCTGCTGCACGCACACTGTTTGCCAAAGCTTTGGACCGTGAGTACGGGGCTTGTTTGGGGAAAACGTGACCGACATGTGAGCATGGGTGGATCTCAAGACTTCCTCCGCACTGCCATATCTGAACAAAGAATTGACGTTGTGCATCACTAATTTGGCTCTTTGCACGCAGAAGCATACAGTACCCATAAGCCTTTGTAAGGGTAATAAGTTTTCAATAATATCACAGCATACTATAAGCAACACAAACAATTTTATGTCTGATTTGACAAATAGGCTGGATAAAATAACATCCTTGTGAACTCAGAGCAAATCACTGGCAGTAACAAGGAGAGAACCCCATCTCAGGTTTTATCTGGAGTGCAATTACCCTTTTCTTAGCTTCACTTCCTCTGAAGGCATGAAAAGAAATGGGCCACAATATTTCTGCAGGTCTAACTGTGGTCTACAGTTCAAGTTATACAGGCATTATTTAAAAAAAAAAAAAAAAAGGAAAAAAAAGAGGCATGGTTCTTGTCCAAATTAACCACAGAAATAGCTGCCTCAGAAAGAAACTGATGACTGATAACTCATTTCTTACCAGAAATCTTGGCCCATATTCTACTGAAAAGCTGACCTAACAAAACAGGTAAGCTTGTCATATCGTTGGAGAATGAGAAGTTGTGTTCCTACCTCAGCAGAGAGGCATGGCTGCCTGATCATAAAAATATAACTAACCTTTTTAATTGGAAAGTAGGGCCTGTTGCAATAGGACAAGGGGCAATGGTTTTAAACTGAAAAAGGGTAGATTTAGACTAGACAGAAGGAAGACATTTTTCGCAATGAGGGTGGTGAAGCACTGGCACAGGTTGCCCAGAGAGGTGGTAGTTGCCCCATCCCTGGAAACCTCCAAGGTCAGGCTGGACGGGGCTCTGAGCAACCTGATCTAGTTGAAGATGTCTCTGCTCCTTGCAGGGGGGGTGGCCTAGATGGCCTTTAAAGGTCCCTTCCAACCCAAACTATTCCATGATTCTATCATTCTTTTCTGTTGCTTTTGGGGGAAGCAGTATATTTGTCATGTGAAGAGAAAGATAACTAAAGGAATTATACAAGAAATCTAAATTTCTGTACTGATCCTTTAAACAATTTGCGTATTTTTGCATGTAAGTTACACTATTGCCATTTTGAAAGCTGCTAAGAAACCAGCTATCCACTTTCACTTTAAGATCTCCCTTTTTGCGATTTATTTCCAAACAATAGCTTTCTTACATTATTATTTCTATATCCAAGATTATTTTTTTAAAGTTGAAATTTATCACACGAGATTTGTTTTCAGAAAGTATTAAGCGCCATTAAATTTATTAAAGTTTAACAATTTCCACATTTGTTATACTCCATGTAAGCATTTTTTAATTGATGATTACTGTTCTGATCAGTCTGGTTTTAAACAGAGGACCGTAAAGAGGACTGAAGAAAAATGTACAGCTAAGAAGGAAACACATTATTCTACTCTTCCGCGAGTCTCAGTTAAAGTATAACAGAGATATGGTCAGTCTGTTTAATTGCTGCCAAAAAGAGAATTCCACAACAGCTGATTTTTCAGTAATTAAAATTATGAATTTCTCTAAAAAAATAACTGTAGGTTGCTAAGCAATGCTCACTGAATTCTGCTTCCTTTATTAAAAGGGTTCAAAACTTTTCTTGTCTTCCTATTACAAAAAAATTAACTATATTGCAGCTCAACAGTTCATCAAAAGGTTTAATTTTTTGAATGGAAAACACGTTTTGACCTCTATATAAAATCAGGTACAAATGAAGAGCAAGGAAAAGAGAGAGAAAGCAAGAAATTCACTAGACTAGTTGACTACTAAATGCTAAATAAGTGACTCTGGAGAAGGTTCTCCCCTAAAACTATTCACACTTCCGTTAACAGAGAAGCACATTACATTTCATGTACATTTTGCATACTCACGTGCATGAAAATACGTTTCTTTACCAGGCCTGGTTAGTTGGCAGCTCGTTATAAAAGCGTACTTTCTTCCTTCAGCACAAAAGGAAAACAAGGTGACATTCACTTTCACTTTCACCCTCATCTTGATGCACGCAGCCTATCGATATTATTTCTTTTCTTCTCAGAGACTGATGGAGGCATTATGAAAAGCTGCAGTAAAAGTAGAGATCTCGCCTTGGGGTCCCCACCCCTGCCGGGGTCTTTGGACAACTGACCTAATTGCTGGGTCAACGAACACTAAGTAAGAAAAGCTCTATAAGCTCTACCACCTCCATTCTAACATTTTAGGACTATTTGGAAGAAACAAAAGAACACAAAAAAAAGGATGCTGCCTCCTGAACAAAGACAAATTGTGGAAAATACTCTGTTCCTGCCCCTCGCTGCTGCAATTTTGCTTGCCAGCTTGCGGCTGAGCCCCGCTGTGCGGAGCTCATGCATGATCTGCTGGGAGCCGGGTGGGCAGAGGGGCCTCCCCAGCTGCACGAACCCATCCCGGCTGCTCCCACTGCAAGACACATTTCCAGATCCTGACAGAAAGAAACAATACAAAAAAAAAAAAAATCAGAAAAGAGAAGACCCCAGGTGATCGGAGGCGTATCATCCAGGCCCTTGGGCAACGAAATTTCCAACAGAAGAAAGGACTTGGCAGTAAATAATTTTGCCTTTGTGCACATGCGTGATTTTCTCTGATGCCGTGATGGTGGGTGGAAGGACAGACCGCAGGTGCATCAAGCAACAGTCCCCAAAACCAAACCTACATTGCAGTGCCACCAGCAGGACCAAGCGCAGAGAGGGGGGAAAAAAGCTGCAAGCAGCTTCCCCTCGCTCCATGTACAGGAGGGGGAAGACGAAAGGGCATGTTCTGCATCCCTCAGAAAGAGGGGTTTCAATGCCCATTCTGCCCGTGAAGTGAAATTTTATCCATCCAAACAGTATTAAACAATTTGAAATCAAGGCATATTGACTCGATCCTGCATTCAGCACGCAGCCTCCATCTCTTAGTCATCATGCTTTTAGCCGAAGCTTTGTCCTTGTTGCACCTCTCAAAGCCACAGAGAATTTCTTCAGTTTAGAATAATCAGAGTACGAGAAAGAGTAGGCTTGAGGACAAGCCCTTCCATGTCTCCACGAGAGGGTGGTTGTTTTCAGAGAAAAGAAGAGCGATGTATTAATTTACAGTGTTTTTGAGTATCCCTGCTCCTAATTTTCAGTCTGGCATGTCTAGAAAGCACGGAGGCAACAGAATTAACATTGATTTATCTCTCTTGACCTTCTTCAGCACCGTGGGCAGCCGGAAGAACACGGCTAAGCAACATCATAGCGCTCTGCTCTCTTCCACAAACACCCTCACTGCAGGAAGCGCAAGGAGAAGGGCTTGAAGTCAAACAGCGGAAAGCATGTTGTGCACAGTCCGGATCCAAACGCCTAGATCCTACTGGCAATCTGCACCAGTAAAACGAACACACCCAGGCATATTTGCTGGCCATTGCACAGCCCGTCCGGCAAAACTGCTGGCCTCCCAGAAGAGAGCTGCTCGATCCACCTGCAGCCCGCAGGGACCCCACTTCCACCAGCCTCTCCGCGTTCTCATTTAAGCACCTCTCTGCCCACCCCGCCCGAGCCACGTCCCCGCTCTTGGCCCGGCGCATGACACACCGCTGTGGAGCCCTGCCCGAGCCCGGGCTGGGACACCCATGGGTGCCCCTGTGGGGCACGGCAGCGTGCTCGTGCACAGCCCCCAGCGGGCTGGCTCCCGGGGACGCTGCTGCTGCTCCTTCTGCGCTTCTCCTGTGTGCTAGGCAGCCTCCGACCCTTCCTCCTGCCCACGAGGGCACCACAGAAGCCAAGACCTGCATGCAGGGAGGGCTGTCCTTCTACAGCTCCTTGTAGAAAGCTGTGGAATCCCACAGTCCACCTCAGAGGAGAAAACCACTGCTATCCGGGGCAGTGCTACCCCTAGCTCCTACTGGTCAGGGACAACCATTTTGGTGCCACCAAATCTGTGGCAGCCAGGGTCAGAGAAGACTGAGACACTTCAAGAACGTGATGTAGAACCTGTAATGCCCAGTTCTGTTAACTGCGGCTGTTGTTTCCAAGCTTTGGGGGAGTTGCGAATTTCTGCTAAGAGGCAGAGCGTATAATACTACTTTCAAAAGCAGCGTCCGCTCCACCCCACAGGTGCTGGTCTGGCTGCACGTGCACTAGCAGACACAAACAAGCGCCTGCAGGAGCCAGTCTTGCTCAGGAGACGCACATATCCAACAAGCTTACTACCGTTACACTGCGTCTGTGGGACATGGGGTCATGCTCTCCAATGTAGCTTGCTGCTAAACTGTCTCCTGTCTCTGCTTATTCGTCTGCTGCAATAGTGTCATAGCTGAGAAAGTAAGAAACACAGCAAGCCCCAAGTCAGCAAGCACCTGTACCCAAAAATGCATGACTCCCTCATTGGCATCACCCCTTCCAATCCCTCAGTAAGCAAGAAAAACAATTCTCCCTTGCCAGGGTTAGCTGGGGATGGCATCCACCACCAGGCTGCTTTCCAGCTTAACCTACTTTGTCTGATGATGAGCACGATCATTTCTTTGGGTCCCCAAGTACAAACCAAATCTATTGCTACTTCTGGCTCTCTGAGCAGCCTCTCAAAAGAAGCCATAAAAACAATTTCATCAAGAGCTATTTTATAGCTCCTGACCCTGTGGCTGAGCAATTATCCCACGGAAAAGAAATCCCTCCCAGTGGAAAGAGGGGACCCCACTGCAACATACACATCAACACAGGCTACACCAGAACTGGAGACAACTGGGAGCCTCCTGCTTCAGAAGCTCACAGAGCTGATGGACGTGGGTAAGCTGCTTTGAGCTTCAGACGGAGGCCCGCTGAATGTACTGACCAAGATAAGTAGGTTGTGTGTTTGGACTTACATGCCAGAAACTTTTCTTTATGTGAGGAAGGAGGTGGCCACAAATTCAGATCAAACAGTGATTCCATCTGAGAAATCTCCCTCCAGAGAGAAACCATGTCAACTCTAGGTCTGTGGTTATTATCCTCCCCTAATTCTTTTCTCTCCTTATTTTTGTGCCCTCTTTGCTAGGATTTCTACGCTACAGGCAGCAGGAGACAGGAACAGCAGCCAGGAAGACTCCATCCTTCTCTGGTTAACAGGCAGACATCAAGTGAGACAGTCCGCTCCTGGGTGCAGCCTTGAGAAAGGAGGCCTCCTTTCCCAAGAAAGTAGTTTTGTAACATTAAAAAACTATTTATCCCCAAAATCTGCTGTCACCTAGTAAAAAAACAAAACTAAACCACCAACTCTCCTGTCCCACAATCCAGTGACACACAGAAATACAAATATGACCATACAACATAACTGATGACGAGCAGAAAAAACAAGTTAAATCCAGGATACTAAGTTGTAAAGTCCCTGCAAGACAAAAACTGCCCTCCTACACCACCACTGGATTACTTCAGCAAGCTAAGCGTGATACAGGGGCAAACCATAGGCAACCAGCTCTCAGTGAGAATCAGTAGCAGCACAGGTAACAGCAGAGTTGAGGAGGAAAAGACTGTTTTACTTGTCAGTCTGGACAGTCTTGTACCTCCTCTCTCTTCCTCTGCCATAAATCTTCTTCATTCTAGCTATCTATCTGCCTCACACCTAAGCACTGGTCCACCCTCCGGTGGGGCACAGCTCTACAGCTCCTGGACATCTTCCCCACCACCTTCTATAACATGCACAAGTCTATGGGACCTGATGAGGTGCATCCCAGAGTTCTGAGAGAATTGGCTGATGTAGTTGCCAAGCCATTCTCCGTGATATTTGAAAAGTCATGGCAGTCAGGTGAAATCCCTGGAGACTGGAAAAAGGGAAACATTGCACCCATTTTTAAAAAAGGTAGCAAGGAGGACCCTGGGAACTACCAACCCATCAGCCTCACCTCTGTACCAGGGAAGATCCTGGAACAGAACCTCCTAGAAGCTGTGCTAAGGCACATAGAGGACAGGGAGGTGATTGGAGACAGCCAGCATGGCTTCAGCGAGGGCAAGTCCTGCCTGACCAACCTAGTGGCCTTCTGTGATGGAGTGACTGCATCAGTGTAGAAGGAAAGAGCTACCCATGTCATCTGTCTGGACTTTTGATTTTGACTTTTGACTTAAGGCCTTTGACACAGTCCCCCACAACATTCCGCTCTCTAAATTGGAGAGAGATGGATTTGATGGGTGGACTGTTGGAACTGGATGAGGAACTGGTTGGATGGTCACACCCAGAGAGTAGTGGCCAACGTCTCAATGTCTAGATGGAGATTGGTGACAAGTGGTGTCCCTCACGGGTCCATGTTAGGACTGGTGCTTTTTAATATCTTCATCAATGACATAGTAGGATCAAGTGCACCCTCAGCGAGCTTGCAGATGACACCAAGCTGAGTGGTGTGGTTGACATGCCTGAGGGATGGGATGTCATCCAGAGGGACCTGGACAAGTTCGAGGAATGGGCCCGTGTGAACCTCGTATGGTTCAACAAGGCCAAGTGCGGGGTCCTGCACCTGGGTCAGGGCAACCCCTGGTATCAGTACAGACTGGGGGATGAAGGGATTGAGAGCAGCCGTGCGGAAAAGGACTTAGGGAAATGGTGGATAAAAAGCTGTACAGGAGCCGGCAATGTGCACTCGCAGCCCAGAAGGCCAACCATGTTCTGGGCTGCATTCAAAGCAGCGTGGCCAGCAGGTCGAGGGAGGTGATTCTGTCCCTCTACTCCGCTCTGGTAAGACCCCACCTGGAGTCCTGCATCCAGCTCTGGAGCCCTCAGCACAGGAAGGACATGGACCTGTTGGAGAAGGTCCAGAGGAGGGCCACAGAAACAATCAAAGGGATGGAACACCTCTCCTCTGAGGACAGGCTGAGAGAGTTGAGGTTGTTCAGCCTGGAGAAGAGAAGGCTCCGGGGAGACCTTATTGCAGCCTTCCAGTACTTAAAGGGGGCTTCTAAGAAAGGTGGGGACAGACTTTTTAGTGGGGCTTGTTGCAATAGAACAAGCGGTGATGGTTTTAAACTAAGAGAGGGCAGATTTACAGTAGATAGCAGGAAGACATGTCTCACAATGAGGGTGGCGAAACACTGGCCCAGGTTGCCCAGAGAGGTGGTAGCTGCCTCATCCCTGGAAACATTCAAGGTCAGGCTGGACAGGGCTCTGAGCAACCTGGTCTAGTTGAGTATGTCCCTACTCACTGCAAGGGGGTTGGCCTAGATGACCTTTAAAGGTCCCTTCCAACCCAAAGGTTCTATGAGAACCTTTATAGAAACTTTTCCTGAAGTGAAACAGAATAAAGCCTTACAGAAGTGCAGGGGCTGCTTGTCCTGCCCCACTGCTAACCGCCATCAGCTGCCTCCTGCTCACTCCATCAACTGCAGTGAGAGCTCTGAGTCAAATTAGAGAATTGTTTCTTTCCAACGATCCTCTTCAAGCCACAGAATGTAAACTTCAGCACTAATATCACACCACTACTTGCATTTTATACTGGCATTCAAAACAAAGAGAAGTTTTTTAAAAATGTTTTTAAATGCCTATTTGGAAGGAAGATACAGCTATAACCAAGTGTGAGAACAAGGAAAAGAGATTCATATAATCACCTCCCAAAGTTTTCTCTTCTTAACACTTGCTTACGTTACAGCTATCTCTAAGTAAAAGGGCGTGAAGAAGCAGAAACTTGTTTTTATTCTTAGGAAAAAAACCTTTCCACTGAGCCACTTACCCTAAATGAGAATTCAAGGTTTTCTCCTCCCCAGACTTCCATTCCAGTGTCATATGAACCAAGATAATCAAAATACTTCTTGCTCACAGAAAACAATCCACCTGCCATGGTCGGAGACCTATAAAAGAGAACAGTGACTCTGAACTGAATAAAAAGCAAAAGAAATATAAATTAACAAATCAATGCAATGGATAATAAATACGGTATATTTTTATTCTCCATTTTCTCAGTCTTTTCTGGATACAAGGTAACAGTCAGCCATTGATCGGTTATCATCAGGCTATTTAAATTTAATTGTAGAGTAAAAAATTGTATCCAAAACAAGCTCCAGATTGTATTAAAATAAAAATAACAATGAAATCAGAGAAGATAAATATTGTGTTAATATAAATTTTTGCAATCGCAGTATCTTTGTGAGCAACAATAAATGGCTAGTCTCTTACCATCACATAGCAGAACATAAGCTTTATTGTGGCAAATATTATTAGTCATCTCCGAAATTCTAAGTACAGTAGCCTTATACGTTTTACTTAAGCAATAAGTGAACAAATATTTGCACTTTAGTAATTAGTAATTAATAACAACATTCCTGATCCCATTAACATCAAGTGGAAAAAACTCTCAGACATCAATTCATCAGAATTAAGTAAATATAGCCCCTAAAGAGATTTTTTTTTTTTTCTTTCCAAGATTTGCCTATCTGTATTTGTTTACAAAGTTTGGGAAAAAAAAAATCAGGGGTCAAGACTGAACCCTCACTGAAGACCGTAAGGCCCAGAGCGACAGCACACTTGAAGGATGTGCTTTCAGTAGAGCAGTGTGTGCACGTATACATAAACTTGTATTTGTTCAATATTGTTCCTAATTGTTTACAGCCTTAGAAAATGACCCTTTTTAAAGCGCCAAGCATATAATGCTGGTTGGAACTTAATTCAGCTGACACTTTATGAATTTTACTAAATTGCTGTTGAGGCAAATATTAACAAATGCAGTGATCAGTTACTCTGATCTGTCAAAACTAATTTTACCAGCCATCTTTTTGAAGCAACACTGTCTTACACTGTCATATGTTGTTGCAAAGAATGGAATGAGATGAGTTGAGACAGAAGGAACAAAACCAAAGTCCATAACTAGTCAAGCTCTTCTGTCTCACCCCAGATCTCGTCTTTCCAAACAGGGCTGTCGGTGACACCACCCTCCGCACTGCGGCTTTCTCCAAGGCACTTGCCGAGCTCACAGTCCTCGGGCTACTGCGAAGCTTCATCCCTCATCATTTTCCCCTTGGCATGCCAAAGACAATTATTCTTGTCACGGAGGAGAAAAGCATCACATTTAAACTGAAGGTTTTAAAACCATTTATTCTATTTTGAAACTTTTTTTAAGGAGGATGTGGACTAATATATGCTGAGAAGGACTAAATTACCGCCTCACTTTTCCCATTTAAAAAAAAAAAAAAATTCTCTCAGTTGAGGATAAGTTCATTAATATTTGTGAAGTACTGGGTTATCATGACACAGCGATCTAGAAAAGACTGAGAAAAATTAATGATTCTGTATTCATTGTAGTCCGTAACAGATAACAAATAAAAGCAAGGAGAAACAGAATCATGTTGTTAAAAATGCCAAACAGCAGATTCATTTCTTACAACACACTGTTGAAATACAGCAATTTCCAAGTTGAACATAGCAGACCCTGAACTATCATGATTTTGTCTACAGTGTCCATTTTCCAGATGCATTGTTTGTACTCTTACCTTACCGCTCCTAAAAATACAGCGTGGAGTGACGAATAATACCGACTGACTGCAACTCTTCTTAAAATAAAACAAAAACTAAAACCCACAAGGAAGACATCCACATGAGCTTCTGTGAGTTAACCTTTCATAAAAACTATGGTGGGCAGCGCTGCATCATTTCATCCCAATAAAGGACTGGCAAATTGGTTCATCTCTGGAAACAGTGCAAGGAACCACCACTATCACTACAGCACAGATAAAGTCTTCAAAACTACTTTTGCCTTCTTACTGGTTGAAGACTTTTTCCCCTGTTTTCACTGTTGACCATGACACATTTTTTACAACGCAGATCTCTGCTTTGCACAGAGGACATCCTTCAGTATTAGTTAATCCTGTTAGTTAATCCAACCTGTCCGTGTGCTGATAAGCATCTGTGGGAGTTTGCCTGCAGGAGTCAAGAGACTACTTGTGCAATAAGGATTTCATATGCAAGATTACACGTGAATTTCAGCTTTTAGAGCAATATTTTTCCAGAAGCATGGCAAGCAGGAGCTAATTTGGAAAAAAAGAGGAACTAAACAAAATATATAGTTTTTAGTAACATGCTCATGTCACAAATATTTTTCAGCACCTGGCATTTCCAAGTGAAATCAAAAACACTTGTAACATTCACAGTTTCATAAGATGCGTAAAAATTAACCTGATCACGTCGGTCTTGGATTTCCTCCGTTTTTGTTCTCTTTCAGGGGTACTATGCCAAGTGAAGACCAGCCTCCAGTCAAATCCTCCAATCTGTGGCTCACCAGAATTTCCCAAGTACTCAAATGTGTTCCAGTCAATAACATCAATAACAGGGCAGACAACAGCTGATTCTTCTTCCGCAATCCTAATATGTTTTTAAAAGAAACGGGTGACTTCCATTAGAAACTCTTCTCAAAACCTAGAACTGTCAAGAACAGAGAACACTTGCAGATACCAAACACAAGGTTTTGCTTCATTTCAATTCATGCTGCAACACAAGGAAATAATGGCTACAAGAATAACCACCAATTTCTTGCTGAGGATGCATCAGGATGGACTCGGCTGTAGGCACCTGGCAAGCATCGATCTTCCTGGACAGTGGAAGCAAGGTATGCCAGATGGCTTGAGATAACACATCCAGCATCTGGCTTGGCTGCCATGGTCAGCACCACACTCTCAACAAAAACGTCTGTTTTGTTTTGCACAGGTAGCCGCGCCTAAGAGATTAAGAGAGCAGCATGAGCGTAGAGTGCTGCAAAGATGAACAATAAATTAGCAAGCCTCTTGGCCCTTAAAGTCATGGCTGCTCTTGTAACTGACCATCTGCAAAAGGTTACACTCAGCACTACAACAGTAACTCAGAAAGAAGCCACGAGCTTAAACAAAACAAAACGTGTGACCTGGGAATTAGATCCCCAACAGTGAACCATACATGAAGGAGGCCTCCAGAAACCCTAGCAACATAGGAGGTAGAAAGGAGAAACAAGACAGTACTGGAGAATGACAAACGTATCAGCAAGGCTGATCTAAAGATAGTTAAGATCTTTATCATACTAAGAATACATCAGAGCTGATGACATTTCTTGCAGGTCTACTTCTCCAAGGAGATAAACCCCTGCCTCCCATTTGTCAATACCATGGAGGGTTTTCTGGATTCCTTTCCAAAAAGCATTTGCCCTTACGAAAGGCAGCGGGATCCTTTGCTTTCATCTCAACTTCTGGGAAGGCCTCTCAGTACGAGGAGAGATCAACTTCAAGCATGCAAGCTCGAGGTAAGGTCCTTCTCCTAAATCACTTTTTAGCAATCCTCTCTACAACTACTGTTAGACCTATCTCCTGTTAGTTCAGTGAAACGAAGAGACCTGTTTGACTTTAGGATGTTGGTACTTGTTTTACCCACGCATCTTCTGATTTGCATATTCCAGAGGAGAAAGAAAACTGAATGCGCTATATTGCCAGACAAGGAAGAGACGCGATGTATCTGTCAGTTGAGGGGAGCTAGTTCCTCGTGGGATTATTAAGCTTAAAACCCGCAGGCTGACTATGGGGCTCTGACCCTGAAATTAGAGCAGCTTGTAGTGCTTAAATGCACCAGCAAACAACAGCATTTGCAAAGA